CGGACGCGAAAGCAGTAGCCAGCATCCGGCAAAAGGCCGACAGCCGTGGCGGTCGTGACAAGCGGCGCGGCTTCGTGCACGACTTGGTCGTATGAGCGCACGAGGAACGTCCCGACAAGGCGCCACACCTGCAGCCCACGCAACGTTGGTATCGCTCTTAAAGACTCTATGTACGTACGTCGCACGCCCGGCCACTGCCCTTGCACTCGACGTGGAAGCCGAGGATGGGTGAGAACGGCTGGCGCGGCTTGGCAACCGGCGCACGCCACGCCACCGTGATCGATGAGAGCGCGTCCGTGGGGACCAGCGTCGGGGCCGCTGGCGCCTCGCTCGGTGGTTCTACACCATTGGAAATATGGTCATTTGCAGACGGCAAACGCGTACTCGGTGCAAAGGCGAGTGGAAAGTCGACAAGCGGCAATTTGGTGCAAAATTGCGGCGTCTGCTCGAGCGACGGGCCGAGCGCTTGGGCCAGCGCCGCCTTGCGCTCTGTGGGCTTGCTCCGCTCTGCATAGCAGTAGGCGTCGTACTGGACCCGCGACACGACGTAGTTGACGACGTCGCGCAGGTAAATGTAGGGCAGTTTTGTGCTGTCTTCGGCCCAATTGCGATGGTAATCGACGACACCTTGCGAGACACCGGCGCCCCGAAATGCATCCAAGAGTCGACGCGGAAAGAGGCTTTGGACCGTGGGGTCGTCAGCACGATACAGCGCCGTCTATGCGGCGTTGTCGGCGCGTGTTGGAGAGGTCGTTGTGTACCTCTGTGCGGGTCTTGCAGGCTTCGAGGATGACAATCGGAAGGTCTTCCTTGACCTCGGGGGGCCTCTTCTCATGTAGAAGAGCCAGAAGATGGGTGGCCATCTCCGAGTGCACGCGGCCTTTGATCGCAGTCTCAGTCACATTTGGCGCGACGTCCTGGTCCTGGCAGACGTCGAGCGCGATGCACTTGTTGGTCGACGGGATGCCTAGAAGAAGAGTGCTAGAAGAAGTGTCCATGATGGCAACGATGCGTACGAGATAGAGCCTCCACAAGCTTCCGCTCGTGGATCGCAGTGAGCGCGAGCTCCTCGATCGACGAGAGGCGCGACTCGGGAAAGAGTACAAACGAGCCGAGGTGCGGACCGCTCACGACGCGGACACCGTGCGACTAGACCAGACTTGCGTCATGGCATGCTATACTTTGAATCCAATCCTTACAATGATGAGCAAGAAGAAGGAGCTATTGGCCGGGACAGACTCGAACGACGCGAGCTCGACGTGGAATTCGACGATCGACGGGTTCACCAGCAATTTGCACTGGGCTTGCCGGAGACAGCCGAGCATGGGGTTGGTGAGAAGCTCATGAAGTGCCTCGACAGCGCTGCGCGCAGAGGCCGGTATCGGAGGTAGATTCGCGCCTTTGAATTGCGTCATGACCACGAGGAGCGCTGTCAGCGTCGGCGTCTCGGCCGAGAGGACAGGCTCGCCGAGTAGCGATGGGACTTCAAAGTCCTTGGCCGTCTTTACCGGTGGCGCAATCGCGCTGACCGACTCGGGCATTTTCTTTTTCTTGGGTGATGACTTTGCGGACGCGTTGAGAGATGACTTGTCCCGCAGCGCGCGCTGGGCGGCTTCCTGCGCCCGCTCGGCCTCTTTAGCGGCTTTGAGGCGCGCGACTTCTTCGCGCCGGAGGGCCTTTGTCGCCCGAGCTTGGTACGCCTTGCGCTTCTCCAACACCTTCTTGAGCAGCTTGCGGGCCTCGTCGTCGGTCGCGACGGCGTCCGCGACCGGCTGGATCGCGGCCGGTGTGTCGACGGCTTGCATCGGATCGACGCGATCTTGGGCTAAAAACACGCACTTTGCGCTGGCAGTGTTGACCTATCACTTGTCTCTAGTGAGCAACGGCGCGGAAGAGGTTTGCAGCATGTTTTGCTCTCGGACGAACGTGGATGTAATCGACTTCGTCCTGCGTTGCAACGATATCACTTGGGGTAGTAGCCGCCAAGCCTGCATGGCTTTGAGGGCGTGCGAAGATGCGCGCTCGGTCGCGTGGCCAGCGACGTTCTTCTCGACGTGGGACAACCGACAGGATGCCGATCTTGCACGGCCTATTTGGGTGTTTCTATCCGATCTTGACTCTGCTATTTCCGCGAACGTGCTTGCCGTTGGATGACTTGAAGCGCGTGACGCCGATGGTAATACCGGTAAGGACGCGCCATGTCAGGACAGCTGGCGCCTGAGACAAGCCGCCTCGCCCGAAGTTCGAAGCCGAACGATGTGGAGGATTGGGTGGTGTTCGCTCGTCAAAACCACGCGACACATCGCGAAGAAAACGATCTTCATGCAAATCGCCTTTGTCGGTGGCCTTGCGGCCGAGGCTAGAGCCTCCCACGCGGTGACTGTGTAGTCCAGGAATTGGTCCTCGAGGCACGGTCTCGATGGCAGCGTTACTCCGCATCCTGCGTAATGGAGGTGCCCTTCTAAGTGCGCGACAGTGTCGATACAAGGCGAAGCAACAGGCGGGACGGTCCAATGATCCGCACCTAATCTTCTTGGCTGTAATTTTATTGGTTGAAACCAGATCTTTTGCGGGTAACCTTGTGCGCTGTATGGCTGTCACAGTTATTTTTTTACCATGGGGGCAAGTTCAAGCCTGGAGAACGTTGTCCCGAAAGATCGCGCCAATCACAAGCGCGTATCCTATTTGATAGCCAATCAGAGTCTGACCAGGTGGGGCCTTTCAATGAGGGAGGAAAAAAGCGATCCAAGGCGCGAGCTAGTAATCCAAGCGAATAGATCTTTGGGGATTCGTGATTGGCCGACGCGGGTGCGTAAAAGTTGAGTGGTTTTGAATGCCAAGGTGCGGGTTTTTTAAATATTGAACGGTAGGGGTCGGGGACCGGACGTGATTTATTTTATTATCTCGCACACTGTAAGGGAACGCTGCCGAAATCCACATCCGGACGCCGTCTTTTTTTGTTGACGCCGCGGCGCTTGGCGATCTTATTGGCGTCGGCCACGTCAAGCAATTTAAATGGTTGAAATCTAACAATAATAATAATAATAAAAGCATGCATATTAATATTGAGATGACGCGAGAAGAAGATACACCCGGCGGATCGATGGCAAAGATCGGGCGACTCGACCCAAATAAAAAGATCGATTTCTCGAGTGTTGGTGGGCGTTTGGCGGGGATCCGTCCATTCGGTTGTACGACGTACGGTGTACGTACGTGTACGCTACCTGGGAAGCTATGGAGGGAGAGGAATGGACGGTCGTACGGAACCGAACGTAAGGCGGGTATTTTTAAAAAGCCAGTAAAAAGTCTACATCGTTGGCTAAAAATAATAAAATAAAAGAGACAGCAGTTTGCAACTTTCGAGCCGAAAATCACATCCGCGCGGTCAACGAAGGTAGGCGCGTGATGGATCCTTCGCCGACGGGCGACGACGACGACGACCAGGACGCTCATCGCAGGCTGCGTAGGCTCCGCCTGCTAGAGAGAGACCCTGCCTGCCACATAGAGACCACCGAGCCATGGACACCCGCAAGATCGACGTCGCATGGGATGGCAACCCGGAGGCAAAGGAAAACAACATGGCCGCGTACAACAGCACGGTCGTCGAGCCCAAGATGGCCATGGACCTCAACAGTGCAGCGAACACGTACTACATGACCAAGCCGCACGACGTACGTGAACGGCGACATGAGCCTGCTGCACTCCAGATGGCCATGGATCTTACCAAGTTTGTATCATATCTAGGACCACCCATGGCGAGGAAAGTCCGCGTTTGGCTTTGCAACGATCCTGAACCGCAACTCGTGCGACGACATGGGCGCCAACGGCCCGCTCTCGGTCAACTTACCACCGTTGCAGTCGTACCACGCCGCTTCGTCACTCGTCGACAAGGCCAAGCTCGCGACCAGCTCTCGGCTCTCGGCGCACAAGGTACCGCACCGCCCGATGCCGACGCCGATCGCGCCGCTCGGCGAGGCCATGATCGACATGTCGGGCCTGCAAAACCGGTCCTTGAAGCTCAAAATCAAAAGAAGCACGTGGATATCTCGCCCGCCTATACGGCGCAGCCCAATGGCCCGATGCTCGCGCCGACGCCCAGCAACGGCGCGCCGCGCAAGCTGCCGCTCGCTCCTGCGCCCTCCATGGACGACGACGACGACGACTCTGGCGACGATGACGGTGAGAACCCGACTGGCGCCACCCACAACGGCGCCGCGCTCCGTGGTGGCCGATGGACGTCGGAAGAGCACGAGCGGTTCCTCCAGGGCTTCCGCTTGCATGGCCACAAGTGGAAGCGCGTGCAAATGGTCGTGCGAAGTCGCACAGTAACCCAAGTCCGGACGCACGCCCAAAAGTACCTCTTGAAGCTGCAAAAAATGACGGGCGGCCCCGAGCAGCAGCGGTCCAGTACGGCAACCACGGGGGCCGATGCCGACGGCCGGTTCCTCGCGCCGTCCCAATTCGGCAGCGGCGCCACATCGCCGACGCAGAGCATGACGAGCGGCAACGACGACGACGCGGCGCACGACAAGGTCGCAACGACTGGCAACGAGCTCGGGCAGCCACTGTCGCCGCGGAGCGCCGTCACGCTGCAGACAGTGCAGCCGCGCAAGCTCAAGACGATGAAGAAGCAGCAGCAGCAGCAAAAGAGAACGACGAAGCGTTCGGACCTCGACGGCTCGTCGCTCGTGCACATTGAAGAGGCCGCGTACACGCTGTGTGCGCTCATGAAGGAGCACATTGACGACCTCGAGGCGATTGTGACCGACCACGAAGACGACGGAATGGAAGTGGACGACGACGACGGCACCGAGTCGACGGAAGACGAGTCGATGGATTCGTCGTCGTCGCCCGTCTCGTCGGCCGACATGAAGAAGCGGTACCTCTGCCGCAAGTGCCGCGTGCCCAAGAAGGGCCACGTGTGCCCATCGTCGTCAAGCGAAGACTCGGCGGCCAAGTCGCTCTCGCTCAAGAAGATGTCACTGCACGAGTCCGACCTCGACTGCTACGAGCCGTTGGAAGCCGAGTGGACCGACCTCGACAAGTACGTGGGCTACCGCGTCGCCCGCTGCTTTGGCCCGAACCTCTGGTGCCGGGGTACTATCGACCAGGTCGTTGCGACGGGGTCGGACCAAGATAAGATTCACATTGTGTACTCGGAAGCCTCGGGGCGCCACGAGTGGCTCCTCAAGTCGGACGCGATCGAGTGCATTGCGATCGAAGGGCTCAACACGGACGACGACGAAGCGTACGGTGTCTTTGCCGGCAGCTCGCTCAAGAAACGCAAGCACTGGAGCTCGCTCGCCTCGAGTCTGCGCGAGTCGCCCGAGAAGGACGACGACTTTGAGGATGACGACGACGACGCGAAAGCGGCCCACCCGGCCAAGCGCCTCTGCTCGCCGTGAGCGTCGTATATATAAATATATAGGGATAGGACTAGATAGTGGATGTGTCTTTTGGAACATGATAGATTTTGATCATTTTAGTAGTTGATCCGCCGGGCGAGGTTCATCTTGCATTCCGCGACTTGCACGTCGTCAGGCCGCGTCAACGTCGTCAGAAGCGCTCCGCTCTGCGCGAGGACTGCGTCACGCTCGGCGCGTAGCCGCGCCATGTCCTGCGCCTCGTCTAGCAGCGCCGCCAGCTCCATGGGGTCGGTCACGAGGGTCACGGCCTACGCGCATCGCTGTCAAGAGAGCGACGGAGAGGAGATGCTGCATACGGTCTGCAAGGACGCGAGAGCGAGGTCGAGCTCGCCATAGTTGAATTGACAGCGAGCTAACGTCATGTGCGCGTCGGCCCACGTGGGCGCGAGCTCGGTCGCGCGCGTCGCTACCTGTACCATCGATGGGACAAGAAGCAAATCGTTCGTCGTGTCGTACTTGGATGCCCTGGAAGAACTCGCCGAGGGCCAAGTGCGCTTGGGCAAGCAGCTCATGGAGCACCGCGTGGGTCGGGTCGTACTCGATCGCCTGGTGCCAGCGCTCCATGGCGGCGCGATACCGCTCTACGTGAGATATTGTTGCGTCGGCGACGAATGTAGTACGCTACCGGCTTCGGCCAAGACGTTGCCTTCGTCTTGGAGTCGCTTGACCTTGTGCGCCACGTCCTCGAGCGATGGCAGCGCCACAGGTGGCGCCGACGAAGCTTGTGCATCAGCATACTCGTACTCGGTCATGGCCTCGAGCTGCGACTGCGAGAGAAAGCACGGTGCGGCCTCTACCGTCCGCGCATCCGGGCGCTTGCGCTTCTTGAGCTGCAGCTGGACGCGTGCCATCGCGATTTTTAGCCGTCGTCGGCTAAACCCACGTCACCTAAGCGATGCCACGCCTGAACTCGTACGTTCGGTCGACAGCTCTCGTGTCAACGCGTAGTTCGTCGCACTAAGAACAGACAATCTGTCCATCGTAGCTGGCAGCGCATACCGCGGGCGAGGCGCGTGAGCTCGTCGTCGCGCCGAAGACGGCGATCGCCGAGGTTTCATTGGCCAAAAGCCTTCGCGGTAGAGTGGCCAATCCCCGCTGCGAATGGATTTGAATTGAGCCAATGGCATCGCGAGAACGATTGGCTGGGACTAGGTAGAAAAAGCCAAAACGCGAATTGCTCTACGATGAAGCTCGATGTGACGGGGATGCGGTACCTGACGAAGGACCACTTCAAGGTGCTGACGGCCGTCGAGCTCGGCATGAAGAACCACGAGATCGTGCCCGTGGAGCTCATCTCGTCGATCGCCAAGCTGCGCCACGGCGGCGTCAACAAGATCCTCTCGCACTTGCTTCGCAACAAGCTCATTGCGCACGACGGCACGACGTACGACGGCTTCAAGCTCACGTACATGGGCTACGACTTCCTCGCGCTCCGCGTCTTCATGAAGCATGGCCACATCTCGGGCCTCGGTCGCCAAATCGGCGTCGGCAAGGAGTCGGACATCTACATGGCCGTGCAGCCCGACGGCACCGAGGTCGCGATCAAGTTTCATCGTCTTGGCCGCACGTCGTTCCGCGCTGTCAAGAACGTACGCTCTCTCTCTTCGTTGTGTGTTGGCGCTCACGGTTTATGATTAGAAACGCGACTACCTCAAGACGAAGAAGCAAGTCAACTGGTTCTACCTCTCCAAGCTCTCGGCCATGAAGGAGAACGCGTTCCTTCGAGCTCTCTACGAGCGTGGGTTTCCGACGCCGACGCCGATTGACGCCAACCGCCACGCGATCGTCATGAGCCTCGTCGACGGCTTCCCGCTCAACCAGGTGCGCCGCATGGCCAACTCGAAGGACGCGTACGACAACTGCATGGACATTGTGGTCCGGCTGGCCGAGTGCGGCCTCGTGCACTGCGACTTTAACGAGTTCAACATTATGATGAACGACGCGGGCAAGATCACGATGATCGACTTTCCGCAAATGATCTCGACGTCGCACTACAACGCCGAAGAGTACGCTCGAAGCGACCTGCAGCATCTCATTCTGAGTCGTGTAGGCTCTTCAACCGCGACGTCCAAGGCCTCGTCAAATTCTTCTCGCGCCTCCAGCACGGCTCGTATGTGCCCGACGAAGTGCCGAAGCTCCAGGACATTGTCCGCGACGCCGAAATGAACCTCGACATTGAGATGGAGGCGAGTGGCTTCACCAAGCAGATGGTCAAGGACATGGAGACGATCCACGAGCTCACCGTCTCGAAAGACACCATCCACGAAGAGAGCCTCGAGAACGAGGATGTCGACGAGGAAGCGGTCGACGAAGACGACGAGCTCGATGAAGCCCTCGCGCGTGAGCTCGAAGCCAAAATCCAGGCGCTCAAGGGTGACGCGGCGCGCGACAGCGGTGACGACGCCGCCTCGGACCAAGACGCGTCGTCGGACGAGGACGAAGATGACAATGGCAAGTGGGCGACGCCGGTGGTCAGCGAAGACGTGCGCCTCAAGGTCAAGAAGGCGATCGCCAAGCAGGCGGCCAAGGGCGGGAAGCGGACGCGCAACTCGTCCAAGCTGAGCATCAAGGGCAAGCTCGTGCACAAGGAGATGTTTTAAGCGCTAGTAGAAAATTTAAGGTTTCTTTAATAAGTACAACGGAGTAGTAAGTAGTCGGTATCACTGGATTGCACACGACGAGCTCTGCGCCGCCGGGTCGCCGAGCTCCTTCATGGCTTTGCACACCGCGCTGTGCTTGCCAGCCATCGCGAGGTCGAACGCCATCTTGCCGTCCTTGTCCTTGAGCGCCGAGTCGGCCTTCTTCTCCATGAGCAACCGGACCACCTCGACTTTGCCGGCCTCGGCCGCGCCCATGAGCGACGTCGTCCCGCTTGTCGTCGCCGCATTGATGTCGGCGCCGCGCTCCAGTAGCACCACCGCCGCCTCCTTGTGCCCGCTAATGCACGCCCAGTGCAATGGCGTGCGCCCGCTCTTGTCCGGCTAGGCACAGATATGGTGTTCATGCCATTGTGCAGTCCTGCATGCACACGTACGATATTTACGAGCGCGCCTCGGTCCATGAGCAAGGTGCAGAGCTCCGCGTGGTTGCCGCCGGCCGCGCGGTGCAGCGCGCGCCGGTCCGCTGCCCCGGGAACGTTGACGTCCATGTCCGGGTCCTCGAGGATCTGCAGCACCGCGCCCTTGTCGCCGTTGTGCGCGGCCTTGTGCAGCGGCGTGTCCGATGGCATCGTCGCTCTCCAACGGCTCCTCTCGTTTTGCCAGCGCGACGCTTGGATTGAGTTATTTTCGGCGCCGGATAGATGCCCTTATCCGGATGTAACTGGTGACGCTAATCGCACGCAACTTTCGGTTCCCACCTACGCTCAAACTGGACCTTTTCAACGACCCGTCGTGCCCACGAATGATATGGCGAGGTGTCACCAAAGGCGATGCGAGCTGCGTCAGGTGCTCGGAAAACGCAATGGTAAAGCAGGAGGAACGGGCGGATGGGTGTTCCGATGTCGGTTGATCAACGCCTTTGGTAGACGCTTGAGGTGCTGTAGCTGCTATATTTGGCGCTGATGACGATGTGTTCCAATCGACGGTTGTTGCGGGCCAAGCGCGATGGACCTCGAAGCGCGCTATCGTGCGGCGACGCTCGAGCAAATTGAGATTGAGCGACGCCTTGAAGCCGTTCAAAATGCACCCGTCGCTGTGTACTATGTGCCACTAGGTAGTACGACGCTGGGTCTTGCATTCTCGACAAAGTGTCAAGTAGACTATGTTCTCGTGTGCGCCGTCGTTGCGTGTATTTTGCCCGTGCTAGAAGTGTGGTGGCACACCAGATGCTCTTCGGCTCTGCGCGGCTCGGCACGGCAGTCGCTCGAGAGCGCGATCGCTCCGTTGCCGCCAACTGCCACGTCCAGAAATTCAGCCTTGTACGGTGTCCCTTGCGATGCGCTCTGTATAAAGGCAACGCCTTACGATGGTGTAGTGCGGCTCGACTGCTGCAGCGCTGTTTGACCGCAGACCCGGCGCTGACGCATTTCCTGCAGCACGAGCTCCGTCATGTGATGCACGACGCCGACAAGGTAGCACACTTTAAAAACACTCGTGATGGTAGATTTCTGATGACGGCAGCTACGCGCCGTGCTCGGTGACCCAGCGCTGCACCATCTCCGTCGCGAAGACTGGGTGCGCGGTCTCGACGCCAACTACTTTATGGTGCGCGCGTGTGGTTGGGTTGTCACCGAATGAGGACGATGGCCGTAGATCCTACAGTGCGTCTTGACGTCTGCCGCATTCGATGGCGCCTGCAGTCCGCTACGCACGCGCAAGTGGCTTGCGCGAGGACTCTCAGTGTTTGCAATGGATCTCCGGGCACTCTTTGAGGTGCTGCCTTCACCTTCAGGACCTTTGTAGCATGACGGCGATAGGGCCAGCTACCACTTTTGCACTTTTATCAGTGGCGCAGCACCCGCGCGTCAAAGTACCGAGGAACCCTTCTCTTCGTGGCACTCCTCGTGCTTGAGCACTTCGAGTCGAGTAAGATGATGAGCGAGCGAGGAAGCGTTCGCCAATGGAACGCACGTGGTAGGCGAAGCAAGCGTCGAGCGCCGGACCCAGCTGTACACGTGCATCGAGTGCTTCGTGGAGGGCTCGGTAAACGACTGCCTCATTGAGACAGATCATGCCAGCGATATATGGCTGTCTTGCGTAGATACCTTATGGCTTCGAGCCTCGTTTGCTACATCGTCGCCTTCTCCATCTCGTTGTCCCAACTGCCACAGACAAGACGTCCATGTTGACACTGCGTCTTGGCGCTTTGTTCCATGTCGACTGCTCAGAGGTAGACACCAGCGTCTCACCAAGTGTCCACGCTGCGCGTAGGTGGAGGCAGAGCTTGCGACGTGGTCCCACGAGGACCGCGCCTGCTTGAAACGCGAGTGGCGTACGTGCCACGACAACCCCATCCAATTTCAAGGCGCATGCAAGGTATGGCAAAACCAACTCGAACGAAAACCAACGCCTTGCTCTACAGGTCCTGCAGGCCATGGGCCTTCCGTCGGCGCTGCGATGCTTGATCGATGTCGTCCACCTAGCGCGGTCGATGCCGCAGCCGTTGAGGCGGCATCAGCGGCTCATCGTTCACCTGCATGCGCTGGCACGTTCCCCGAAGCTTCTTGGTGCAGCGCGGCTCGTCTCTCGTTTGTTTGAATTTGGCGCCACTTTGCATATGGATCTCGTCATCAACGCCGAGGAAGACGCGATGATGACGCAGCACGCGGTCGGTAACAAGAAATTCCTTTAGATTTTAGAAACAACGCTTCGGTCGTACGCAACATGAGTCAAATTCAGCCCGAGTACCCCGACGGTCGACGTTGGACGGCAGCGGACAGCGGACAAGAACTACCCGATCACAGAAGATATCCTCGACGGCCTCTGCGCAGAGCTCGTCGAGGATACCTTTTGTGATCGGGTAGTTCTTGTCCGCTGCCGTCCAACGTCGACGGCCTGTAAGCATGCATTTCCGAGTGCGATCGCTAAGGCGTTGCTTTTCAAGTCGCATCGCCTCCTCCTTGGGCATCTCGGTGGTCTTCTTGACGGCGCGCGCAGAGGCTATGCTAAGGCGCAATGGCTAAGGCGTTGCTTTTCCAGCCGAGCTGCTTTCTCTTCGGGCGTCTCGCTCGTCTTCTGCTCAGCGCGCGCCTTGCGCTTGTTCGATGCTCGCATGTTGCTTAAAGTAGACTAGCTACATTACGCCAAGTTCAGTAGCAAGAGCGGCCGGTCAATGCACATCACCGAGCGACATGGCGGCCTGTCAAAATCGCCAAGCGACAGGGCGCCGGCCTGTCAAAACGCATCAATCAATGAATTGTTGCGATCTGTCCAATCTTATTACTCGTAAAATCAGTTAGAAAGGCCATAAATGGTGTCGCGTAGAAGAACACGAGATACGTATCTTGAACCGTCGCGCTTCTTGTGTTGTCAATGCGCCTGGAAAAGATCTGCGTGCGCCACTTCCCGCCGGGGCTGCGCCTAAGCTACAAGACTTCGGCGGGCGAGCAAAAGCAGTCGACACTGGACCTCCTGAGCTTGGGGCCGGAGACGAACGTGCGCCTGCTCGTGAACCAGCTCATCGAGAAGGAGCCGCTCTTGACGGCGCGCCATGCGACGCTACTCCAGACCATCTTGCACGCGCTCATCGATAAGCAGTGTCCGCTGGATGACGACGGAGAGTTTCGCCTCGTCAAGACTCTGCGCCCACACGCCCAGCCAATGACCAACTTTGTTGCGTCCAAGAATGCGTCTCTGCTCGTGACATCGAGCTACGACAAGACGGCGCGCCTGCTCCGCCGCAGCGACAACTCGCAACCCGAGCAAAAAATGGTGCTCTCCGGTCATGACGGTGTAGTGTATTGCGCCGCGCTCAACCAGCCGTACTCGAGCCTTGTCCTCACCGGCTCGTTCGATAAGACGTGTCGCTTGTGGCACACGGACAATGGAAAGTTCGTGCGGACCTTTGCAGGCCACGAAGGCGAAGTCGTCCACGTAGCCTTCAATGCCAAGGGAACACATTTTGGTAGCTGCTCCATGGACTGCACGGCGACGCTGTGGGATGTGGAGGCTGGGGCGTCAGTGTTTGACCTCGTGGGGCACACGGCCGAGGTGTCAACCTTTGCTTTCGACACGTCGTCGAGCCTCATGGCGACCGGTACACAACTTCTGCGAACCGTTCTCCTAGTCGTGGACTAGGGGCTTGCGATGCGAGCGTGCGCCTCTGGGACTCGCGCTACGGCGCCTGCTTTCGGTCGTTTGACGCGCACGCAGCAGAGATCGCGACCGTCAGCTTCAACCACCAGTCCAATCTGCTCCTGAGCGCGTCGGCCGACGGCACTGCGCGCGTACACATGATGTCCTTGCGATTCGGTGCTCATATGGCGTAGGTGTGGGACGTCCACCACGGCAAAATGCTCTTTGCCTTCGAGGACCACCAAGGCGAGGTCACGGACGCGTGCTTCAATGCGACGGGATCGCTGCTCGCAACGAGCGGCGTCGATGGCTCCATTTACGTGTACGACACGCTGCATGGCCACAAGCGCTGCATTTGCCGCGGCCACAAGGGCGAGGTGGGTGCCAAAAGGTGGCGATGCTTGACGTCCATGGCAGGTCACCAAGATCATGTTTACGCGGCAAGGCTCGCGCCTCGTGAGTGCGAGTGCGGACAAGACGGCGCGTCTCTGGGATACGCAGAGTGGAAACTGCGTCCAAGTGCTCAGTGGTCACGATGACAGCGTGTTTGGGTGCTACGTGAGCTACGACGGCCGGTCGATTGTAACGGGTAGCCACGACAACACCGTACGGTACGGCGCTCGAGTCAATCATCGCATATGACGTGGCATCCTCCTAGGATCTGGAGCACGGACGACGAAAAGTAAGACGTGGGATAAACAGACGAGCGTGGAGGATCCATCATCATCATCATCATTCACGGGTATCGATGGGAGATCGTGTACTACGGGCAGTATCGATGGCAGGAGGTCGTCGAGGGGTCGAGCTAATAGATAAAGGTATTTAACAACATCCTTTGGCGTTGCCTTTGGCGGCCGCCGTCTTGGCGCCGCCGAGGTTGACAATCTCCTTCTTGTGGGGCCCGCCCTCTTCCATCAAGCGCGTTTTGACTTCGTTCGCGATCTCGATGAAGCCGCTCTCGACGTTGATGTTGTTCTTGGCGCTCGTCTCGAAAAACTTGACGCCATATTCGTCCGCGAGCGCTTGGCCTTCCTCGGTGCTCACGACCTTGTCGTCGAGCATATCGCACTTGTTTCCGACGAGAATCTTGTTGACGTGGACGTCCGCATGCTGCTGGATCTGGCCGACCCAGTTGCGGATGCTGTTGAACGATGCTCGGTCCGTAACATCGTACACGAGCAGGATTCCCTGCGCGCCACGAAAGTACGACGTTGTGATCGTCCGGAACCGCTCTTGCCCTGCCGTGTCCCAAATCTACCATCTTACATCGGATTCCACCCGTTGCCAGCGGTGGGTACCTGAAGCTTGATCTTCTTCCCGTCGAGATCAATGTTCTTGACCTTGAAGTCGATGCCAATCGTCGTGATGAACGTCGGCGAGAATGAGTCGTTGGCGTAGCGCAGGAGCAAGCACGTCTTGCCGACGCCTATACATACGCCGTGTGATCTTCGCGCAGGATCGCCATGCTCCTCGTACCGCTGTCGCCGATCATGAGGAGCTTGATCTGCATGTCGAAGGGATTCTCATTGCGGGCCATCTTCCGCGCTTCCTGCGGCGCATGAGCTCCCGATCGATACCATGGGCGATGTCTACCTCGGCGACGTCAAAATGGAAAATGCCGATCCATTCCGATACAAACTCCAAGTCAAAAAGTTGAAACGGAAAGCCCCATATAATTAGCCACGGGGGGAGAACTCACTTGGAATTTGTATTCTCGAAATAGCCGTGCGTTCGCGCGATTGGCCCTATTTTTCGATGCGACGCGCTGATTGGCCAAAACTCGCGTCGGCCAAAGAAGCTACCGGATACGAATCCGGACGAAGATCACCACACACGTGGCCGGCGACCGACGCGGTCGACGAGACATGCCGGTGGCATCCGATGGCGCTTCGACGCCGCCCAAGAAGGTATGCGCGAAGCGATCGTCCTAGACGCGGGGCGTCGAACGAGGCCCATCACGCCAGAGGCCAAGCATACGATCCCGCGCTACGGAGGATGACGAAATACCGTGGTGAACCCTATGCAGCCAAGCAAACAAGAACAGGCGCCAAGGTTTGGGCAAGCGCAAACACGCGAAGCTTGCTGGTCGAACTCTGTAGCGTGCGCAGTGCAAGTACGCTGCGCGTTGCAGGGTGTCAGAGACACCGCATAGCATGCCATGAGGCTGACCATACTACAGTAGGCCTAGCATGCGCTGGACCTTGTGGCGCTGGGCATCGCGGAGCGAGGCGTTGGGCGGGAGGCCGTCCCAGTTCGCGCTCGTGTACACTATGTCGTCGTCGTGGAAGGCCTTGAAGAGTGCGTTGCCGTCGCCGCAGTGCTCAGTGATCGAGTTGGCCGACTGCGTCCGGTCGAGGTCGCCAACCTTGAGGAGAAAGGCCGCACGGCGCAAATAGAACGTCGGCGAGAGGTATGACAGAGGCAGGACGACGATGTTGTCCTGGAGGTTCGCGGCCGCGAGCGTGTGAAGCACCTCGGTGCGCGTCGCGTTCGGGCCGGGCTCGCACTCGTAACAAGAGCACGCTCACGACGATGAGCGCGGTGCCAACAAGGAGGCTCTTGTTGCGCCGACCCCACGACAAGTACGACCGGTCCGAGTGGCCGCCAATGAGCGGCGCGACGAAGAAGGCGTAGAAGGGCGGAAGGTACCGCGAAATGAACGTGGCGATGCCCATGGATGTCAAGAAGGAGGTGAGGAGCTCAAGGACCGTGCAGTCTACGAGCGAGCACTCGATGATTCATGGGTTCCGAAACATTTTTTCCAATGAACGCATTCTTTACATTTCCTACGGATTCCGAGTAAGGAACATTGTTTACGGTTCCGAACATTATTATACGAAGCATGGGACACACAGTAGAGCTGCTATCGATCGCCACGATTGCTGAAGGAATGATGCACGGTCAACTCAGATCGAGATGATTTTATTATAATAGTTGAAAAGGTTGCAATGAATGTAAACATTGTTTGACAGCCAGCCATTCGACCAATAGAGAGGCCTTTCGTGTCTTTCTGCCGTCACGTCTAATTTCATTTTGCAACATGAGCACCAAGAGCTCCACCAAGCCCAAGGGCCCAAGGGGTCGTGCCAAGGCCATTTGCTCCCATTTCTACGAGCCCGTCGAAGGCAAGTCGGAGTCGTTCCAGTGCAAGCAGTGCCAGAACACCTACGTGCAATCGGCGCGTGCGGGCTATGGCAACCTCTTGCAGCACCTCTCCACCTGCGTCCCGGACTACGAACAGCGCTTCTCAGAGCACCTCGCGACGCTTCCGCAAAGCTTGATGCCCACGCAGATGCCCATGGGATCTGTCCCGTCCTACACGAGCTCTCTCTACGGCTGGCTCGAATTCATCATCATGACCAACCAGCCTTTTTCTGCGGTTGAGGACCCTGTCGTCCGCGCGATGTCTCGGTTTGAACCTATCTCCGTCGAGACGCTCATGAAGTACTTTGGCTTGGTCACGAAGCGTGTCGAGGCGGCGATCCAGGACGAACTACCCGACAAGTTTGGCCTCCTCTTTGATGGCTGGTCCGAGCGCTCAACGCAGTACCTCGCCATGGTCGCTGCGTACCCCGTGGTTCTGGAGGGCAAGACATGCTGCCGAGAACGTCTTCTCTCGCTGGCGCCATTCGAGGACGGGGCCTCGTTCACGGCAGACGCGCACGCGGCGCATCTCGAGTTTATTCTTGGCGAGTACTACTCCAAGAGTACAAACGACGTGCTCTTCTTGTGCGGTGACGACTGCGCGACCAACGTCGCCCTTGCCAAGTCCCTCAAGACGCCTCTCATCGGCTGCGCAAGCCACCGATTCAAACTCGTCATGGGTTGCGTCTTGGAGACGTTCGAGCCGGTGCTGGCCAAGGTCAACCGCCTCATGCACGAGCTCAAGACGCTTAAACACAGCGGCCGTCTCATCAAGGTCATGACGACCGCGCACAAGCGGCCTCTGGTAGCTGTTACGCGGAACGCCACGCACTTGTCTTCCACCTTTGCGATGGTGAAGCGCTACCTCGAGCTCAAGCCGTACATCAGCGAGATCCCCGAGATGCAGCCGTATGTTCTCACGCCCAGCGAAGAGGACGAACTCAACGATGCTTTGCGGGCGCTCGCGGACTTTGATGCCATCACGACGTACCTCCAAGGCTCAAAGATCACGCTTGCCAAGGTCCGTACTGTCTTCGACAAGACGCTCGCCAGGTTCCCGGCCCACTTTGCGCAGCCGAATGGCCACATGGACGCGTCCGCCGACATTGTCAAGTACAGCGACTTTGAGAACGGCGTCGTCAAGATCTTGACCGGCGCCGAGTCGTCGCTCACAGCGGCCGAGGCGACGGCCATGGTTCCATTCAAGGTGCACGCGGTTGACGAGACTCCCGCGACGCGGGTGGAGATGACGATCGTCGAAGAGATCCTTGCTGAAGAGGCGCGCGCCAAAATGACCATGTACGAAGACCTCAGCTACCTCCCTGCGACGAGCAATTCCGTCGAGCGTTTGCTCCGCAAGTGTTGTTACATGCTACCGGACCATCGCGAGGCGACGACGCCGGAGATCCTCGAACGCAAGCTATTTCTCAACTTGAACAAGGACCTGTGGAGCGTCGCGACGATCAATGACATCCTCTTCGAGGAAAAAATGCGAACAATGAAGCAACGTTTAAAGTATAGGCAATGAGAATGAGCGCGTTCTACATTGATTGTTTTGATGTCTTGACATTCATTGCATCTCCATCCGACTTCCTATTCCCTATTTCGTCGATCGCTCGAAATTACATCCGGTTAAAATAGGAAAAACAACTCCACCCGACCTCCTATGTCCTAAAAAATAGGAATTCGGCCGTTTTTTCGTCCTAAGCGGTACCGAATAAGTCGAAATCGTCGGGAATTAGGATCGAAATCCTATTTCTAGACGATTTGATTGGCTTAGCCATAAAAATTGTGCAATACTATTGGCTGGCCTATTCATCTCGTGGATATGATTGGAGCATAAGCTGTCGCTCTTGAGGTCGCCGACGATCCTGCGAAACATTGCACTGGACATGCGGAATCTACACGAGGTAAGAGATTGCACAATGCCATGGTTCGGGCAGTATCGGCGTCTGAAGAGGGTCTCGCTGTAGGTTGGATCGGGGCCGAGGTAGTCGGGCATGATGTTGCTGTGGCCTGACGCGATGTCCCGCTTTACCATCTCGCGACCGACGACTCCACCGCCGTGACGTCGCTTGTTCGGTCGGTAGAACACCTCGTGCACGAGTTCGTCATTGTCGTCGTCGTCGAGCAAGAACTCACGCCAGTGTCGGTGCATGGGCGCCAAAACCAAAGTGATGTGCGCGCGCAAGAGAGCTTGCAATTGGCGCGAAGCCGGTTAATTCAGATTTATCCGGTACGTTCCTCCTGGATAGGCTGGACGGGTGGAGATAGCAAACCTATTCGTATTTCACGATAGGATCCACCAATCACAGTCCTCAGAAAAAATAGGAAATAGGAAGTCGGATGGAGATGCTCCAACAACAACAACAGCAACAACAACAACATATCCTTAAGTCAACATGGTTCGATTGCTATTGTCGGTGGTCTTTGCAACGATATGAACGGCGGTCGTGGGCCACGGATTCTGCGCCTACAAGATCTGGTTGGTCCCGTATTCGATGCAATGTGAAGGACGTACAACAGGAGTGCCCGCGCCGAGACTGGCATCCTTCCCGCCGCTCGATGCAAAAGCCGCAATCGTAACGCCAGCGACGAGGCCGACGACGCACGTCGCGACGATGATCGTCGCCTTCTTGTACCGGTACGCCGTCGCGACGAGCGCCGTATCGGCCGCTTTCTCGTCTGCGTCCGAGAGCTCGGGCACGGGCGAGATGACGAGGTTGGACCCAAACGAGTCGGCGCGTTCATAGCAGCGTACGGGGGACGTCGACATGGCGCCGATCGTAGAGTAGAGCGCTGCGAGCGAGACACACACGACGGTGCCAAGCCTCTACTTTCCTACATCTGCGTGTAATGCATTACGTGATGATGAGAGCCAAGGTCTGCTCGGCGCCGACTAAAAGGACATCGTTCGCCAACGTCCTAGCATGGTACCATCTCGAGGCCAGTGAATGGGAAGCGCGGGGATTAGGAAGTACCAGTACTGCTGTTGGAGTAGACCACGCGACGCCGCTGGTAGGGTTGACCTGCGTCTCTGTGAAGCATTTTTATGACCAAGGAGCCCGTTCGCCGCTCTGCACACAAGTGCGATATTTCACATGCGTGGTGCGAAAGCAAGGCAAGAGTCCACAAGAGATTCATTAGCACAGTGGACGCAAGGGGGCATACGAGCGATTCTGCCACCGCATCGATGCGATACCGTAGTAGACGAACCCAATCGCAACGCCAACAACGACGAGCTCGTATGGCCAAACAAAGGTGCTATCGACCACATCTTGGTGGAGCTGGTTCGTGGGTTGGAAGCGGCGCTTCTCGGAGACCGTGTGCTGCTGCGTTGCGACGTTGGTCCGGCGCTCCATGGGCGAAGGCGTGCTCCAGCGCCGCTCGAAAAAATCGCGCAGCATCGCGCGAAGCTACTCGTGGCATGAGCCAACGAGACTGCAACAAGGAGGACGTACCACAGGCGATGGGCTTGTGATGTCGTCGTTCACACACACAAACTTGGTGCGGCGCGACCGGGCTCGGTACAGCTGCACATAGTCGGTCATGGACCGTCCGAGCATTAAGAACGTGACTTGCTCTTCGGACATGCGGCGGTGTGTCGGCGGTAGCATCGCCGCGCTTACTTGGCTTAAACGCCGCTCGAGGCCGGGGCAGTGCACCGCAACGAGTCGCAGCGGCAGTGCGGACGAGACGTTGGCCGCTCGTCGGCAGTCGTCAAGCAGCGCCAATAGCATCGCGTGCGAGGATGTGGGGAAGAGTCCGACGAGGTTGCGCCCCTCGTACGCGTCGAGGTGCCCGTTCTGGTTGATGTCGATGTGGCTCGAGAAGAGTTCGCTGGCCGAATTCGGCGGGTGCAAGAGCCGGCGGTTCGCCACATAGTGCATGTAAGCAAAGCTAAACTGCATGTCCCTTGGATGCCGGAACCGGTGCGCCGACGTCGTGTTGAATTGCATCGGCCAGTGGGCCTTGAGCTCCGAGAGCAGCCGCTTCTGGATAAAGTACGGCATGTGCGATGGCACCCGGCGTGGCTGCGGTGCCTTGCCAAACACAGCGTCAAAGAGCGCATTGACGTGCTTGAGCGAGTCCCCAAACGGATCCAGGAACGTGATCTCCGCGTCCGCGGCTCTCGGTGGACACGGGTCGAGCCAAAATGGTTGTTCGTCTTTCGTGCGCATGATGCGGCACATCTATACGACGCCGTCGCGTCAGTCGATCGATGCAACCAGAGATGGAATACCTTGTCGCGAAGGAGCTGCGTTGAGTTGCGTGTCAGTGGGTCGTGAGTGGCGCCAAAGCGAGTACAGAGCGTCATGGCCTTGGCCTTGGCGGCCGACGGGTCCTTGGCCACTGAGCGCCTTGGTCGAGGCCGTCGTGCAGCTATCTGCCAGCGTCGCGTACGCTGCGTTGCACCATGTCCACCAGTGACACTCGTGTGTCGTCTTGGGCAAAGCGTAGTGCTCCATGGTATTCGCGGTCGGCGCCAGTACCGTACGAAGCGCACTGTACACAATGCAGCTGCTGCGATCCGCGTTGAAGAGACAGACGCTCGCACGCGTCGCATTGCCAGACACCTGCGCATGCAGCA